TGGTCCAAAGGACTAATGGACCACAGCTATCAAGGCCTCCACCAGACTGGGTCCAGTACAACTGGATGTGCCCGGCTACCACCACTGACTGTTCTGACAGGGATCTCAACAGAGGGTGCGGGACAGAGCTGTAGAAGGATACAGAACAAAATTCTAGCACACAAAAAAAGACCAGACTCACTGGCCTGACAGAGACTGGAGAAACCCCGAGAGTATGGCCCCCGGACACCCTTTTAGCTCAGTAATGAAGTCACTTCCGAGGTTCACCGTTCAGCAAAGATTAGACAACCCCATAAAACAGAACAAGACTAATGGGGCACAACCATCCAGGGACAAGCACTAGAAAGCAGGAGGGGACAGGAAAGCTGGTAATAGGGAACCCAAAGTCAAGAAGGGACAGTGTTGACTTGTCGTGGAGTTGTTAACCATTGTCATAAAACACTATGTGTACTAACTGTTTAATGAGAAACTATTTGTTCTGTAAACCTTCATCTAAAGTACAATTAAAAAAAAAAAAAAAGAAAGTGCTTAACCTGTTATATGGTATGAAAAACCTATAGCTAACTTCAAACTGAATAGTGAAATTCTGTATGCTTTCCTCTTAACATCAGGAAGAATGTAAGGATGTCTGATCTCACTTCTTCTATTCAACTTTGTAGTGAAGGTTCTACCTCATGCAATCAGGCAAGAAAAAGCATAAAAGGCATTGATATCAGAAGGAAGACTTAATCTCACCTTTATCCACAGAAACTTGATTGTATACAGATAGAAAATTCTATAGAATCTATAAAAAAGTTACTAGAATTGATAACCTTAGCACGGTTTCAGGATACAAGATAAACATAACCCCTCCCCCCAAAAAACTCCATTGTACATCTACATAAACAAGTAACACGCAATCAGAAATTGGAATTTTTAAACAATACCATTTACAATAGCATCAAAAATTATGAAATACTCAGGGATTAATATGAAAAAGACATGCAAGAAATGCACACTGAAAACTGCAACACAGCAACATATAGCTGAGAGAAATTAAACAGTTAAATAAATGGAGACATGCATCATGTTCACAGATCAGAAGACTCAATATTGTTAAGATGTTAATTCTCCCCCAAACTCAACTATAGTTTGCAGAGAATTCTAATCAAATCCTAGCAGATATTTTTGTAAATACTGAAAAAGCTTATTCTAAAAGTTATAGTGAAATACAAAAGACCTACAATAGCCAAAACAACTTTGAAAAGTTTGAAACACTGAAAAGGAAAAATAAAATTGGAGGATTTACACTAATTTCAAGAATTGTTATAAACCTACAGTAATCACGGCAGTGGGGTATTGGCATAAAGATAGACAAACAGATCAACAGAACAAAACAAAGAGTCTAGAAGTAGACTCACACATACATGGTCAATTATTTGTCAACAAAGGTACCAATGCAATTCAAGGAGAAAGGATAATCTTTAACAAATGATCCTGTAACAGTAAGATCTTGTTGTCAGGCACAGCAACCCCATGTGACAGAAAAGAACTACTTCATAGGGTTTTCTAGGTTTTACTGGAGCAGATCGCCAGGTCTTTCTCCCAAAGAGCAGCTGAGTGGGTTCAAACCGCCAACCTTTCGATTAGCAGCCAAGCACTTAGCCACTGTACCACAGGCTCCTTAATAATTAGGTAGCCATATGCAAAGATAAACCACAATGTTTACCTCATGTCACATACAAAAATTAACTCAAAATGGATCACAAGCCTTAATGTACAAGTTAAAGCTATACAACACCTAGGAAAAAACACAGGAGAAAATCTTAGTGATCATGGGTTTGGCAAAGATTTCTTAAATACCAAAAATATATATCTATATATAGCACAATCCAGTAAACAAAAAAACTGATACTGGACTTCCTCAAAATCAAGAACTTCTGCTCTTTGAAGACACTAAGAAAACAAACAAACAAAAAAGAAGAGACTGACAAAAAAATTTGTAAATCATACATATGATAAAGAACGTACATCCAGCATAAACAAAGAATCCTCCAAACTTGGTAAGAAGAAGAAATAAAATTTAATAAGCAAAAGATTTTAACAGGCACTTCACCAAAGAAGATCTATAGATGGCAAATAAGCACTTGAAAAGATGCTCAATGTCATTAGTTATTAGGGAAATGAAAATTAAACCACAATAAGATACCACTACACATTTAAATTTAAAAAACTGACCAGGCAAAAATGTGGAACTGAAACTCGCACACACTGCAGGTATAACCACTTTGGAAAACAGTCTGGCAGTTTTGTAAAAAGTTATATACTTACACGACCTAGGCATTCCACTCCTAGATAATTACTCAAAAGAAATGAAAATATATGTCCACACAGACTTGATCCTGACCTTTTCTTAGTAGCTTTATTTATAATAGTAAAAAACTGGAAACACTTCTAATGGTATCAACAGGCTAACAGATAAATTGTGGTAAATCTATACAATAAAATACTACTCAGCAATAAGAAGGAAATGAACCATTGATAAACGCAACAACACAGTTAAATTTCAAAATAATTTTGTTGAGTGAAAGAAACCAGTTTTGGTAATTTTAACAAATTGATTCTTAAGCAAATTGATTTTCTAAAAATTGATCTAGAAGCAGGAGAGCTGAAGAGTAGGTGGCCCTAAAAAGCCTTGATTTTAAAACAGCCCAACACAAGTCTTACATATTCATAAGTTAACGATCAAGTCTCATTTATTCTTCATATGTATAGCCCCCTTAGGGTCCCCAAGGAGAGAAGCAACCAGCAGGATAAGATGATAGTATGGATAGAGACATAGGAATATCAAAGTTTAATTACCATCATACCCCTAACACCCTGAATTGAAGTAACCTGAATAGACTACATAGACTAAGTTCGTTTTTCCAGCATATGAAAACAAATGTAACACTCATTAAAGTGCAGTTTACTATTAAACAGATTTAAAGATAACATAAAAACAAAAAACCAAACCCATTGCTGTTGAGTCAATTCCAACTCATAGGAAGGAGGAGAACTGTCCCATAGGGTTTCCAAGGAGCAGCTGGTGGATTCGAACTGCTGACCTTTTGGTTAGCAGCCGAACGCTTAAACACCGCGCGACCAGGGCTCCAGAGATAACATAAGAGAAACCATATCTCATGTCTCTAATGAATTCTTACATCAAAAGACCCTCTCTCTCATCTCCTACTCTAGTCATTAATACAGAAACTGATAAAATAGGAAAAATGATTTGGGATTTTTTAAACTTCTATTCTTGTCCCCCAAATTCTCTGTCAGCCTAACCCCAACAGAGCTCCATATCCCTCTTTAATGGGGTAGTCGATACATCCAGGTAAGCAGAAAAAGAAGCCACAGAAAGAGAACAAAGTTTTCACCCTATTAAATACTCAAGATGCTACTATGAAGTCCGGATGGATCTACCCAATACATCTGGCATGTGTTCAAGGATAAACATGCAAAGTCATTTGTTTATTCTCCAGTATTCTCCATAAAATAATGATCATCAGGGTCACTTGATCTGATTACTGCAAATTCCCCTTTGAACTTCTCTCTTTTCCACTATAGTTAACCTACCAAAGTCAAATGAGAGAATAAAAAAACCAAGAACACAAACCAAACAGAAAAAAGGACAAGAGTACTTTATTCAAAAGGATATCTACAGTTAAGAAGATCAGAACAATTACTGAAGGAATTTTTCTAAAACTGCTGATCAACAGCAAGCAAGTCTAAAGATAATTATTCTTCTAAATCAACTGGCTCTGCAATCTGAAAGATGGTAAATAAGAATCCACAGCAGTTTGTGTTTTCAAACCCACCAGAAATGAAAACATCTTTGTTGCTATAAATATGTTGAGACTCAAACTGAGGGAAGTTGGAAGGGCAGCTGTAAAAGGATCACAGATCATCTAGATAAACCACATTGTTAAGAAGTAAGCATATCAAGAGTGTAAGAGTTCATAGCACTCAAAGTAACAAATATACTGGAAAAATCAGACTCAACGCAACATGTTTAAATGTGGGGGCGGGGGGGAAACTGAAGTAACATTCTAACACTTCACACAAAATCCTTCATTTTTTTTTCCTTTTCCTGCCTTCCAACTTCAGATTCTGTATCTGCAGTGCTGTGTAAAAGCAAAGAATTGAGTACTTATTTCACAAATATAGTATCTGAGTAAGCTTAAATAAGTAGAAAACCATCCATGTACAAAGAATGTTGGGTTGCATCAAGATAATTTAAATACTAATTCAAGAAGTTGTTTGGTTTCAATTACCAGAAAACTCAATAGTATCAAAAACTAATGATTTAACTATTGAATCATTTTCATAATTAATATCTTGCTTAATTATCTTAGCTCTTCTTCTATTTCTTCAGGAAAAATATTTTTAATTAAACCCTGAACACAAAATTTTGACCAATATGAATGTCTGAGAGTAACCATAATAGCTGTCCCGTACTTCTACCGTGAGCCAAATTACACAACAACACTCCAGAATTAGACGTACACAGCAAAATGAAGAGGTGTTTAAACTAGTTTTACTATTTTGAGAATAGTAAATGTTAGAATTTGGAAAAGCCATATCTAAATCTATAAGTCTTTATTAAAAACACTGGTGTCGAACAGAAAAACCTTAGTAACCAAAATCTGGGATAAAGCCTGATAAAGTAAAACAAAAGCTCCATCCAGGAAAGGGTTCCAAGGTGCCAGTATCTTAATTATGAAAGAACTTAAAAGGAAAGTAGGGCCAATGCTGACTCACATTGATCCAAAACAGACAGCATTAAACAAAGAGCTAACCCTTAACTTTTTGGCAAGAATAAATGCCTAACAAGAGTAACCCACTCTATTCATACAAAGGACTGCCAAAAAGGTTGTGTGCTTTGTATGGAGCGGAAAAGGTTTGAAGGGAAGGGGTGTCAGCTTTAAAATGGTTCCTAAAATAGTTGTTTATAAGGATAAAAAAATAAGAGAACTTACGAAGGCTTTGAGTCAAGCTTGGTTTCAGGAAAAGGATAATTTGGCTCTATGTGAAAGCAAAATCCAGCCACTGTAAAATACAGATACCCAGATTCTGTCAGCAGAAGGCAAAGTATTGTTCATCATTTCCCACAAAAGTAGCAGAGCCTTTAACTTGGATTCCTGTATTTTCCTGGCAGACAGATAATCTGCAAAAGCAACAAACTAAATATAATACTCTTCTGAATTTCAACCCTGCAGTCAAAATGCCAACTTCCAAACTCATCAAAGGTCACAGAGGGGCAAATTTCCTGTTTTGTTACTTAAACTCATTACCTTCCTCCCAAACTAACCAATACAAACTTCCTTCTCCTTATTTTGAAGCTGACAAAACGAGGACAGTATACATACAATAGAGTAGAAACAATAAACTGCTACCCTAGAGTCAAGAAATAGGATTTGATGTTATTTTCTGGGGCACAGTTGCCCAAAATCCTTATCTATTATTTCTCCACGAGGAAGAGCTAAATAAACATTTATTTTTCTTAACATATTAAAAAACCCAACTTATTTTGGTTTTACAAAAAAAGAAAAAGAAAATGTAACATTTATAAACATTTATCAAAAGTCCATTATGTGAAAGAACCGTGTCGTCCCCCTATCCAAAAACTTTAACATGGAGCCAAGAAAATGAGAAAATGTGAACAATTACTATATGATAAACATTTATCTATTTCCCATCTTTTTCATAAATGTATTTAAAGTTGCTTTCCACAAAAGACATACAACACTGTTTACAAATAACTGTAATTTAATGAAGAATGTGTATAAATTCCATAAAAGAGCTACTGAGCTACTAAGAAGAACAAAGTTCATATGGAACAGTAGTTCTTGATCAGGTTGATAACTAATTGTGAAGTGGCGTTACAAATACTATAATTTGTAACTAATAACAGTAAAAGTTATCTGTGTGTATAATTTACACACGCAATAAATATATTTTTTTCCAGTTGTGACTCATAGCAATCCCATGTGTGTCAGAGTAGAATTATACTCCGTAGGATTTTCAGTGGCTGGCTTTTCAGCAGCAGATCGACAAGCCTTTCTTCTGGGGGCCTATGGGTGAACTAAAACCTCCAACCTTTCAGTTAGCAGCCCAGCGTGTTAATCGTTTGCACCATTCAGGGACTCAAATACAAATGTATCATATATACGTTAGTATTGCTATCCCTATCCCTTCACTAGCATTCTAACAATGAAAGAAAAGGATAAATTTACAATTATTTCTCACAGATATCATAATGATAGATACATGTTACATATGCATGTATCATCCTTCATGTAAGTTTTAAGGCTTTAGACCTCATCCTACTAAGATACAGATGCCTCTCTCATCACTCTAGTGAAGAATGTTCTCAATAAACATAAATGATAGGACAGAGTAGAACTTCCCCATAGCATTTCCAAGGAACACCTGGTGGATTGGAACTGCCGGCCTTTTGGTTAACAGCCAAACTCTTAACCATTACGCCACCAGGGTTTCCCCTAGATTACTAGTACTTTCTAACTGCTAAATCAATTTTCAGGTCCCTGTTCGGTTAGTACTCATCTCTAGTTTTTAAAACCAAAGATCACATTCTATTTCTTGAAACTTTCCCTTCCTTATCTCCTGGACCAGATTTTAATTGGCTGAAGGAAGATCAAGTTTATGAGTGGAAAAGATAAGAACATATACAATGAATACCCACTATGTGTCCAGATAGTGTGCTAGAAAGTTTGTATGTGTTATTTCATTTAATTTCACTAAAATTATAAGCTATAATTTATTAATTGCCATTTTACAGATGAGTAAGTGGAGGTACAGAGAAGTTGTGATATATCCAATACCTCACAGTTAGAAAGTGGCTGGACTAGAATTTGAACACCAGTCAGTCCAAATAGAAAATCCAATTTCCTATTATTACTACACTGTGACAAGTTTAATTTTAGACATTCCTCAAAAAAAAAGTAAAATAATATTCTTATAATCTTGGGGTGTAGAAAACTTTTCTAAGCAAGGCAAAAACCACAAAGAAAAAGAATAACAGACTAAACCAACAAAAATATTTTAAATGACTCTAAAGCAAAGTGCTGTCATAAAATCCAAAGGTAAACAGAAAACTGGAACAAAAGGTTTCTGCAATATTTATAATGGACAAGAAGGTAATATTTCTAAAATATAAACAACTCTGACAAATCAATAAGAAAAAAAATAAACACCACAACAGAAAAATTGGGGGCAAAAGTCATGATCAGGCAAATCAAAAAATAATAGACTCAGTGGCCAAAAAAAAAAGTAACTCCACTATTCAAAAATTGCACATTTCAACATATATATGCATTTTTATTATCAGAATGAATGGTAAAGACTAACAATGTAAATTTAAAAAATAAAAAAAAAACATTGCTGTCCAGTCGCTTCCAACTCCCAGCAACCCTATAGGACACAGTAGAACTGCCCCATATGGTTTCCAAGGAGCAGCTGGTGGATTTAAACTGCTGACCTTCTGTTTAGCAGCTGAGTTGTTAACCACTGCACCACCAATGTAAGTAAGAATTTGGGAAAATCTTTTAAAAAGCACAGATGTCACTTTGATGACTAGGGTGCTCCCTACCCTAAGCGATAGTCTTTTCAATTACCTCATATGCATGTGAAAGCTGGACAATGGAAAACTAAGACAGAAGAAGAACTGATGCTTTTGAATTGCGATGTTGGTGAAAAATACAGAATATACCGTGGACTGCCAGAAGAGTGACCAAATCAGTCTTAGAATATAAACAGAATGCTCCTTAGAAGTGAGGATGGCAAGACTTTGGCTCACTTACTTTGGATACCTCATTAGAAGAAACCAATCACTAGAAAAGGACATCACGTTTGGTAAACCAGAGGGTCTGTGAAAACGAGGGAAACCATCAATAACATGGACTGAAACAAGGGCCACAATAATGGACTCAAAAATACCAACAATCATACAGATGGCAAGGAATCAGGCAACATTTCGTTCTGTTATAAGTAAGGTCGCCATGAGTAGGAGCCAACATGACAGCAACATCAACAACAAACAACAACTGGTAGGACTACACTTTATACATTTTTGAAGGGCAATCTAACAAGATGTTATCAAAATTTAGTCGTGCAATCACTTTAATTCAGCAATTCCACTTCAAGAAAGTAAAAGGGTGTGCGAAGGTGTATATGTCTTTTCACTGTGTTAGTGCTGATAACTGTCAAAAACAGAAATTAATTAACTGCCAATCAATATGTGACTGAACAAATTACGGTACATGCATAAAATGGATTACAATTCAGGTATTAAGAAGCATGAGGTGTGGGAATGTAAAATGGTACAGCCACTGTGGAAAAGTTTGGCAGTTCCTCAAAAAGTTAAACACAGAGCTACCATATGATCCAGCAACTGTACTCCTAGGAATATATGCAAGAGAACTGAAAACATACGTCCACACAAAAATCCATACATGAATGTCCATATCAGCATTATTTATAATAGCTAAACAAGTGGAAATACAAATGTCCATCCACTGATGGATAAACAAAATACAAATCCAGACAACAGAACAGTATTCAGTCATTAAAAAAATGAAGTGCTGTTACATGCTACAACATGGAAAAACCTTGAAAACATTAAGCTAAGTGAAAGAAGCCAGACACAAAAAGCCACATATTATATGATTCCGTATATATGAAATATCCAGGATAGTCAAATCTATAGAGACGGAAGGCAGATTAGTGGTTGCCATGGAATGGGGGTATGGGGGAATTGGAGTGATGGAAATATTCTGGAACAAGACAGTGGTGTGGTTCACAACATATTGACTATAGTAAAAATCGGTGAAGTGTACACTTTAAAATGGTGAATTTTATGTTATGTGAAGTATATCTCAAATTTTTTTAATGATATAAATTTTTTAAAGCATGGGGTATGTGTATTAATGGAAAAATGGTCATGATATGTTGTTAAATAAAAGAGAAAGTTAAAGAACAGTATATACAGTATAATTCTATTTGTGTTTTTATGCAGTTATATAATCACATATTGGCAGGTAATGGCACTACATATATTAAGCTACTAAGAGTCTTAATCTCCATGAGGTAGGATAACCAGAAAATTATGCTCTTCAGTATCACTTGAATTGTTTTACAAAGAGCATGTATTACAAAAGGCATAAAAAATATAACTATTTGTGAAGAAAAGTATATTAATATGACAAAAACTCACAGAACAGACTGAAACCAAGAGACAATACGAGCAAGAATTATTAACCCGGGGTCCAAAGACCTCAGGAAATCTGTGAATTTGTATAGGAAGAACATTCTATCTTTATTTTTGCTAACCTCTAATTAAAATTTGGTATTTCCTTAATTAGGACCTGGGTAACCTACCGTAATAGTATTAGCAATACCTGTGATTTTTGTTAACAGAAATTATATTTTCATATCACATTATAGTTGTTACAGATCCTTCAAAATATCTACACACATCATCACTTGAAAATTATGGTAGTTAGACTCACTACTAGATCTCATTATTTAAACGTCTTAATAAAGAACCACATATATTACTATAGCACAAATTCGTTTCTATTATGTATTTTTTTAAATAATAGATTCTTTTATAATCCATTTAATTTTCCTTCCTTCCTTTAAACTTGTTATTTTAGAAAGGATCCAGTCTTCTTTAGACAGCCAAAGGGTCCATAGCACCAAACAAAAGTTAAGAACCCATCCATTAAGGTCATGGAAGCTTCATAGACACAACCAAACTCCCTGAGGGACCAAATTACTGGTCTGAGGGCTGTGAGGACCATGGTCTCGTGGAACACCGAGCTCAACTGGCATAACATAGTTTATAAAGAAAATGTTCTACATTCTACTTTGGTGAGTAGCATCTGTGAGCAGCCATCTAAGATACTCCACTGGTCTCACCCCGTCCAGAGCAAAGGAGAATGAAGAACCAAAGCCACAAGGGAAAGATTAGTCTGAAGGGCTAACCGACCACAATTACCACAGTCTCCACTAAACTGAGTCCAGCACAACTAGATGGTGCCCAGCTACCACCACTGACTACTCTGACAGGTATCACAATAGAGGGTTCCGGACAGAGCTGGAGAAAAATGTAGAACGAAAAAACTCACCAGAAAAAAAAAAAAAAAAAGCAGACTTGCTGGTCTGACAGAGACTGGAAGGAGAAACCCCAAGAGTATGGCCCCAAGACGCCCTTATACCTCAGTAATGAAGTCACTCCTGAGGTTCGCCCTTCAGCCAAAGATTAGACAAGCCCATAAAATAAAATAAGACTAAATGGGCACACCAGCCCAGGGGCAAGGACAAGAAGGCAGGAGGGGACAGGAAAGCTAGTAACATGGAACCCAAGGTCGAGAAGGGGAGTGTTGACATGTCGTGGGGTTGGCAACCAATGCCACAAAACAGTATGTGTATTGTTTAATGAGACACTAATTCGCTCTGTAAACCTTCATCTAAAGTACAATTATATATACGTATATATGTCAGAAAAAAAAAAAAAGAATCTATCCATTAGAATTTGTAAGGGAGACCAATCATGAAGCTATTCTAATTACTCCAGCAAAAGTAATCAAGGCCTAAATTCAGGCAACAACAGAAATCACTCCAAGTTTAATCAATTTGTCTAACACAAAACTCAATATTCCCCAAACTTTCTCCTTCTGATTTCTCAATCACCTGACTTCTCCTTCATGTTCAATCACCAATGTCACCTATAAGCTTTCCTCTGTATCCCAACTGAAAAAGATCTATTTCTTGACTTACTACTTTCTATTTTAACTTTAAAAAAAAAAAAAAGTTTCTCTCCTTCCATTCCTATTCCTCAACTGATTCTACATGTCTCAGCGAGACTAATCTTTAAAAACCATTTTCAGATTGTCATCAATCTGCTCAAAATCATTCATTGGGCTCCAATGTCTTTAATAGCACTACTGATAGTTATGAGATTCTAGAACCACATCTGCAGTCACTATTAATCAAAACAATTGTATAGCTAATGAATGTCCCATAAAATATAATCTAAAATAATATTACAGCATAAAATTCAGGTATTAATAGGAGAACACCAGTTTACAGAGTGTAAAAACAAAAAACAAAAAAACATCTGCTGCTCTAGAGTTGCAATCTTATATCAGTGACCCTAGGATAAAATTAAAATTTCTTATCCAGGCATTCAAACCCTTCCATTGTCATGCTCCAGTCTGCTTTACCAGCCTCACTGCTCCCACTCAAGCCCTAGAAGATAACAAAAAATTAACTCAATTTCCCTCTCAGCCTTGAATGTGGATTTGTGCCTTTCTGCCAGTACATATTTATTGATATAATTTCCCCCATGCAATGCCATTTTATTATGCATTCTTTTAATAAACATTTATTAACTCCCTACTGGTGGTGAAATGGTTAAGCGCCTGGCTGTTAACCGAAAGGTCAGCTATTGGAACCCACCAGCAACTCTGTGGGAGAAAACACAGGGCAATCTGCTCCTGTAAAGATTACAGCCTAGGAATCCTATGGGACAGTTCTACCCTATCATATAGGACTGCTATGAGTCACAATTGACTTGACAACACACAACAATATATACCAAAAACTGTATCAAACCCCTTCTATCTATCAAGCTGGAGATAGAAAGGTGAAGTATATATACCTGCCTTTAAAAGTCTCAATCGTGGAAAAGCAGACATAAACCAGATAAATACAAGACAATGTGATAGCTGCTATGGAAGAGGAATGCAGAGGATACCAGGGGAGCACAGTGAAAGAGCATAAAACAAACACTAGAGGTGTCAGGTAAAGTTTCCCAGAGTAGGGAGCACCTGAGGTGAATTATTAAAGAAGTCAGTGAGGTCATAAAGTATTGTAGGCACATATAAAGCATAGACCAGGCTATAAGTCACTCAGTACTGGTAGGCTGGGGAATATGGTCTGACAGAGAAATGTAATAAATGATAAAACTGGAAAGATAAGCAAGAACAAGATCATAATGGACCTTACCCATAACGCTATAAAATCTGCATTTTATTCTGAAAGCAATAGGAAGCATCAGAATATCCTGGGACATACACAAGTTTAGGAATTCCAGTAACCTAAATCTGAACTCTAGCTCCCTCATTTACCTGCTATGTATGTGACCTTCATTAAATTTACCCCTACAAGTTTCAGTTTCGAACTGCCAACCTTTTGGTTAGCAGCTGAGCTTTTAACTACTGCGCCACCAGGGCTTCCAACTATAAAATAAAGATTAATAATATCGATTTTGCCAGGATTGTAATAAGGGGAAATGAGATATAAAATTTGCCAGCATTGTTAATAAGAAATAATTCATCTAAATCTCCTAGAACAGAGGTCAGAAATCTACAGCCTAATTGGCCAGCAAAGAATAGTTTTTACATTTTTAAAAG